ATTGGAATTTAGAGTGAGTCCAGAGAATTGCACAAATACACAATAAGAATGGTAAATGTTTCTTACTCATGGCAATTGTGGAATTGCCTTAAGCGAAGTTAGAATAAAATTTCATGTTATTGAATGTCGATTGTCGTCATCAAAACGTTTCCTCTGCGTTTGTCTCACTAGTAATTTATGAAATCTGAGCATTGGGAGAGTCGACAGCAACGGTCGATTATAATTATAACAATGAGTATGGTGATTTTATTGGCGTTTGAAGGATTTCCTCGAGGCTTATACTATAACGACTAAATTATTTTCAGATAAAGCAATTTATTAACAAAAGGGCAAAAATAACTCATCAACAATAAACTAATACAATTGAACAACAACCAACAATTTACACAATGCCATCAAACATTTTCCTCATGAAATCATTAATTCATAATCAACTGATTAACTTTGCTATGGATGTCAGTAATATTTGTATTTGAATGAAAAAAAGAAACAAACAGTACTTTAGAAAAGGTTTTTTAGGTATTTGACCGGGAAGCTAACCCACGTAAGGTCTTACTTTAGTGCTGTGCTTCCATGCTCCTGGACCCAGCGCGCGAGTCCGTAAGTCCACTTTTCAGTCTTTGCTTTTGAGAGAAAATCCGCTGTAGGTTTATTTGCGGGCGCGTAATTAAGTTTTGAAATATGGCGGCAACAATCCCGTCAACTGTGGCGGCGATTGAGCGGCCACATTGCGGCCGGATTAAGACTGTAACAACTTGAGTGATGAAACAACGTTATCTTTAAAGATCTTAAGGGAATACCAGCGCACTGAATCAATATTAAGATCATTCATAGACACAAGTAAGTACTATTTAAAATATTTGGTTAATACTGTTAAGGCTGAAATTTCAATACTGGTGCTCCGAAAAAGTTTCAGTTTAATTTAATTAAAGTGGGGCTTCGTGCAAACACCTTGATTGTGTAAAAATAAACTTAAGTGCACGAGAATACAGATAAGTTTCATATCTGAGGTTTGTACCTATCCTTACTGTAAAACAGGGGCTTGCGCCACCTCATTTTTTCGGAAATGGTAACTGGTTATTCCATGATTGATTGTTTACAATCGAGGCTGTGTACAGTGATAACTGCATTAGAGTTCCTCTAGCATTTTTAGCACAGATTTCAAACATTTTTCATGGAAAAGAGAGCTAAATTTTGGCCAGGGACACATAGATTTCCCATGCAAATT